ATATGACAAGATACATGCCTATCCAAAAGATTGCGTTTTGTTTCGAAATGAGTATGCATCGTTAAATGAGTGTCCTAAATGCGGTGCCCCTCGATATAAGAAAAAGTTGTCTCTGGCAAAAGTCTTATGGTATTTTCCTATAATTCCGAGATTTAGACGGATGTATCGTAGTGAACCCGATTCAAGACACTTAACTTGGCATGTAGATGAAAGAGTTGTTGATAGAAAGTTTCGACATCCGGCAGATTCACCACAGTGGATGAAAATTGATAATGATTATCCTGAATTTGGAAAAGAAGCAAGAAACCTTCGCTTGGCATTGTCTACTGATAGAATGAACCCACACGGTATTCAAAGTATCTCGCATAGCACATGGAATGTGATTCTTATGATTTATAACCTACCTCCGTGGCTATGTATGAAGCGTAAGTACATGATGTTATCTATGTTAATTTCTGGGCCTAAACAATCAGGAAATGACATAGACGTATATTTGGAACCTTTAATCGAAGATTTGAAGATTTTGTAGGAGAACGGTGTGGAGGTTTATGATGGGTATAGGAAAGAAAGTTTCAACTTGAGGGCGATGTTGTTTGGAACAATTAATTTTCCAGCCTACGGAAATCTATCCGAGTATAGCATTAAAGGTGAAAAAGCGTGTCCTATCTATGAAGATGGAACCGATACAATGCGATTGAAACTTTGTCAGAAGAATGTCTTTCTCGGTCATCGTAGATTCTTAAATTCTAAACATCAATATCGTGGATGGAGAAAAGCGTTCAACGAAGATAGCGAACAACGTAGAGCTCCGCCTGGATTGACAGGTGATCAATTATTTGAAAATGTGAAAGATGTGAGTATTCAGTTTGGCAAGCCTTTTGCACATAAAGTTGTCAAAGGTGGGTGGAAGAAGAGGTCGATTTTTTTGAATTTCCATATTGGAAATCTTTGTACGTAAGACATTTTCTTGATGTTATGCATATTGAAAAAAATGTATTTGACAGTGTTATTGGTACCTTACTCAATATAAAAGGGAAGTCTAAGGATGGTCTTAAAGCAAGGGAGGACATGGTAGAGATGGGAATAAGAACTGAATTGGGACCCGTGAAAAAAGGAAGACGAACATATCTACCATCTGTTGTTTACACTCTATCCAGAAAGGAGAAAAAAATATTGTGTAAGTTCCTAAGTGAGGTCACTACAACATTTGTTGTCTCTGGCAACACTTTTTTAGGTAACATGTAGAAATTGTTGCCTTAAATTCATATAGGCAACGATTTACGATTGTTGTCAAAAATATGTTTGCAACCCTTGATAATCGTCGCCTAAAATACTTTTGGGGACGTTTATGGAGCGATACTCTTTTATTTTTTGCCAACGGTTGTTAATTGTGCCCTTAACTGCTTTTGGGGACGATTTTAGAGCATTAAAATATTATTTCTTTAGCAATGTTTGACAATTGTCCCCTAAAATATTTTTGGGGACATTTTTAGATTGTTACATTAGTTCTAATAAAAGGCTACATTTCTGAAATGTTGTATAAATTTTTTTAGAATTATCAAATTTTTGGTGGCAATCTTCCCTCCAAAACTTATACACTAAAAAACAAATATTTTTCTCTAAACATTATTAATATATATAAAAAAAAATATTTTTCTAACACAGGAATTTAAAAATAAAAAATTTCAATTAAACAGAAAATAAAAAATTATATATATATATATATATATATATATATATATATATATATATATATATATATATATATATATATATATATATTAGTCTAAAACTTATATATATTTCAATTAAACAGGAATTTTTCTAACACATTATTAATATTTCTCTAAAACTTATATATATATATATTAAAAAAAATTTCATTAAACAGAAAATAAAAAATTTTCTAACACAGGAATTTAAAATATTTTTCATTGTTCCAAACTGATACCCATTTATTAAATTAAAAAATAACCGGTACCCATTGTTCCAAACTGGACCAAAGTATGGGTCACTGTTACTATACTTTCAAACATACGCAGTAAAACACATCTTCTTCAAAAATCTCAAACATCAGCAAAATTGTTTTTCAAATCCAACAAATTCGTCCTTCAAGAACGCCTCCACGAGCTTTCTTCTCAGAATCAGGTGAAATTCTACTTAGAATTTTTAGTTTTCACAAATTAAAAGCTTTTTAATTATGGGTTTATCTAATTAACTGCAAAATCGATGAAATTCAGGTTCAAGAGAAAGCTCTACCAACATCTTCCATCTTCCATTGATACTCAGGTAAACATATTATAAACTCCAAATCTGAGTTGTAGGATTCATTGATTATACGGATTTCTTTTATGCACGCATCTTGTTTGATAAAATGTCTATTTGGGTTTGTTTATATTGTCATATTAATATAGCTGGAGAACGACATGTATATTTTACAATTGATTATTTTGTGAGGAGGTCGCTGCTATAGACATGTCTGTGTTGGTGTTGTTGTTGTTGTCGTTGGTTATACGCGACAAATTAAGAAAAGTATACAATCCCAGTGAATGATGCATATAAAAATTTCGCGTGAGAACCATTTTCGCCAATGATCTTTGTCTATCTTCCGTATAAAAATCAGCAAGATATGCAAAACACTGAGCCAAGCAAATGGTGCTGCTTAATATCCAAAACACAGCAAAAGTCCTACCAATAGGAGTTGAGAAGCTCTTATCTCCGTAACCTAAATTCGTAACCGTCGAACAAACACAATAGAATGCATCGACGAAATCTAGTTTCTCAACAAAATACAGAAAAACAGTTCCTGTAATCATGAGTACAACAAAAGTGGATATTGAAAGCAGAAACTTGTATTTGCTTTTCTTAGTCACAAGTTCTTTAGAAACCTCTTCTAGACCGAGTTTCTCGGCTTTGCATATTGCTTTAACAAGATACACTTCCTGTTTTTCAACAATGTAATCTGCTGCTTTGCTAAGAATCAAGCCACCAAGAGCCATACCAGTGTAGACATAAAGGCAAGCAAGTAGTTTCGCTATAGTACTATTAGGAACGAGATCGCCATATCCAACGGTTGTCATCGTGACGACACAGAAATAAAGAGCATCAAGAAAACCATATGTTTTTATGCCTTGAATTTGGTAACTTGCCAGAAAGAAACATAAGGTGCATGTACCTAAGTATGCTGCTAAATAGAAGAATACTGGCTTGAAGTTGAGTTCTGCTTCTTGTGTTTCATATACATGAGTACAATTTCTATAGTTTTGTATCTTTTTTAGGTAACCAATTTGAAGTTAATGAATTGTTATGTAGCCATATATCCAACGCTTCCAATAGTAGTGTCGAAGCTAAACAAATGAATATTATTATGTTACACTATTATACTGATCCTCTATCTATTGTTATTCCCTTTCACTATCAGTATTAATATTAATGTGCACGGTTCAAAGTTTTTTTTATCAATAATATGTGATTTCACTGGCTAAATTTTGGTCTCAGGTACATTTGTTTAATTTTATACTACACATGTCACTGAATCATATTTCAAATAGTGATAGTGATTATTTTTTATTCCAAAATTGAATTAATGTCGAATAGTATGTTTCAATTTCTAGATTATATGAAAAACTACTATGAAATGTTTTAATAATTTCAAGTATTTTTTTTCTGTTTCAGATCATATTAGTTATTGTAGTCATCAATTGAGTTATTATAGTGAAAAAGTTTTTAAGTCTCTTAAAAATTAAGATCATATAATAGTTTTGGAAGAATGGTGCGGAATTGGTTTGATGATACAAGCAATTCACAAATAATGAATTGAAAGACTAACAGTGTTGTTGGCAAAAGAGTGTTATCTTCTAGCTCAAACACTTCACCTGTCATTGTCATCAATGGCATTACCTCGGAATCGTACGAGGTTGCTGTGATTGTTATCCTTTGATAAGGAAAAAGAAGTTAATGGCTGGTTTTCTTCAATAAATCTCTCAACCTTTGTTTCTCTATTGAACAATAGTAATGTATTGGGTTTACAAATACTTAGAATCACTTCTTCGTCATCTGTTATATCCAAATCAGAAATCTTAAGGGATTTCTGTCCTTTCCAAGACTCCACTGCATTCCTATATAATTCCTACATGCAAATGCTCTTATCACTTAAGCTAGAAAGTATATATTTCCCAACTGGAAACCATGAACAGAAGACTAGGCCAGCACCAGCTTTTTCATAAATTTGGAGACACTTACCAGTAGAGACATCCCAACGCCTAACACATTCCTCCACTCCACATGTTAGTATCTTCATCATTAGGACTCCATGAAACAAAATAAATGTGTTTCTGGTGGCCAAATAATCTATGCTTTATAGACAGCCCATTTACGCCAACCTTTAAAAATGAGACCCAAAATTAAAATCCAAAACCCAATGTTTTATGGTTGAGTCATATTCTACATGTGTATGCATACCACATGTCTGAGTTAGAAATTACATGCGGATGCACGGATAACCTTTCACTACAAACTTATTTGATTTAAGATTTATTTGTCATTTCTTTTTGTTAATCTGATTTTGTATATTATTTTAATCACATATTTATGTATCCACTTAATTTGATTTTCATTTTTTTTAATTCTTATTCTAATTGCTTAAATTTGTTATTCTATTTTTATATTTTGTATTCAAACCCTAAATGGTGAAAAAACAGTCATCCCTAACAGAACCCGTGCGAATGCACGAATATCCTACTAGTGCAAACCAAAAAGTTAAATACTCTAACTAACTTTTCTAACTCCTTCTCAACAATTCTAACTAACTTTCAAAAAGTAGTTACACTAATTTTGGTTATCTCTAATACTCTCCCCCATAAACTCATGGTTAGTGAAGTGTAACAAATTTGATTTTGGTCCTAAACTCTTAGAATAGGCTAGTTGGAAAGGGCTTTGTGAATGCATTTTCTATTTGTACGGGTTTGAGAAAATGTTGAATTCGGTTGCATAGTTTAGTTATGGAATCCCTTGAGTATGATACCTATGGTTTAGGTGACATTGTGCTCTTTGGAAATGGTAAAAGAATGAAACTTGATTGTTATCCAGGTCTTGGTGATATCTTTCTTGATTATCGGGTGAAAAACCTCATGCAGTGTTTTTCTTCATTAACCGGATGGAAGCGTACCTTGGAGTCCATGTCCCAGTTTCTTCAAGATCCCGAAAAGCAATATTTTTCAGAGATTGGCCTTAAGTCCCTTGAGGAATTTGTCAATGAAAAACATAGTCATGTGTTATCCTCTTTCTGCACGTACAAGCGAATTAGTAGGAATGATGATCATATTATGACATTGGAGGAATATGTGCAGAAGTTGTGGATCAATATTGCAGATGAATATTCCGACAAGATGGATAATATTAAAAGTTTCATGACATTGGAGCAGTTTGTGAAGAAGACATTTTGTGAATTAAGTGAGAAGCTCAAGTTTTTGATACAAACTTTATACACTCACCTGCCCAAGTCTTTTATTTCACTTGCAACAGTGAAGAAAATGTTTCGAGCTATTGAACTATTGAGGTCAATTGGAATTTCATTGGGTCCAGCAAAGTTTAAGCAAACTCTTGATGCTAGCGAAAAAGAAAGAATTCCTTCTTGCTTTCTACCATCAAACTCTGAAATTGATGATTTCTTGAAAATACTCAGTTTTCTTTCCAGTTCTATTTTGCTTCCTGAACTCAATGGGAGAAATCAAATAGAAAAGTTTTGCTTGTCTAATGCATGTCTGATTTTGTGCACTGTTTCTAGTTCTATTAAACTCTACACTGAAGGAATGACTCAGGTAAAGTTTCTAGTAATTGACGAAGCGACCCAGTTGAAAGAGTGTGAATCCACAATCCCCTTACAGCTACCTGGTCTTCAACATTGCATTCTTATAGGTGATGAGAAGTAACTGCCAGCACTGGTGAAAAGCAAGGTACCTGATTATTGAATTTAGTTTTATTGTATCTTGAATTTTTTTGCCTTTAATTAAGTATGTTTATGATGTTTGAATTTTTTTTAGATTGCTGATAGTTGTAGATTTGGAAGAAGTATGTTTGAGAGACTGGTAATATTAGGGTACAAGAAACATATGCTTAATGTTCAGTATCAAATGCATCCAAACATAAGCTTATTTCCATGCAAAGAGTTCTATGATCAAAAGATCTCAGATGCCCCTTTTGTTATGGAAGAAAGCTACAATAAGAGTTTCCTTGAAGGAGAATTATATTCGTCTTATTCTTTTATTAACATTGCTAAGGGTAAGGAGAAATCTGGCCGCGGACACAGCTTGATGAACATGGTTGAGGTTGCTGTCATTTCTGAGATGATTAAAAACCTCAAAAAAGGTTATTATTCTCTTTACCATTTGTGGTTATGTTTTCTATTAATATGTGTATAATTAATATGTGTATGTTCTTATTTTTAGAGTTTAAGAGGACACAAGAGAAAGTTAGCATTGGAGTTATCTCTCCATATAATGCTCAAGTCTATGCAATCCAGGACAAAATTAAGGAGTACACTTCTGTTTTTGATACTGATTTCTCTGTGAGTGTTCGTTCTATTGACGGTTTTCAAGGTGGAGAGGAAGATATTATAATAATGTCTACTGTTAGATCAAATGGGAGTGGAAAAGTCGGTTTTCTTTCAAATCAGCAAAGAACCAATGTGGCCATGACTAGAGCAAGGTATGTAACTTATTTGCTAAGTTTTCATGTTGTTGTGCCGAAAACTCTATCTTTGGACACAATGATGTCAAAAGCTGAATGCTCTCAAAAGCTAAACATGGTGCCAAAATGCCCATCAATGTTGATTGATGATTATGTAGATCTTCACAAGTCAAAGGAAATGGATGCAACCAAGTCAATCAATGGTGAAAAACCGGGCAGCAGCGTTAACCGTAGCTCTAATCAAAATCAATCAAAAAAAGAAACTCGACAAGAAAGTGTTCAAAATCGGGCAAAAGTCAACGAAGAAGATGCAATCACAAATAGAGAAGAAGAAAAAGGTAATTAGTTTCATATTTCATAATAATGATTTCATGTATTATTTACATAAGATTATGGGACCCCCTTGTTTGATAACACTCACTATGTATGCTGTAAATTTATCCATATGATACTGAACACCAAAGAAGATACAACAAGTAAGAGTGTTCATCAGAGTTCATTTACTCCAAAAAATAAACATAAAAGGATAGCACAAGTTATACATACATACATACATACAGTTAAAGGCTATTGTAAGTCCTGAATAGTGAGCCAAAAACAGAATGGTTTTCATAATTGATTTATTTGCTAGTAAGCTCATGTCACCTATTACAGTTTAGAACGAAAATTCACATCCATTAAAAACCTTCATAATTAATTCACATCCATGAGATGTGAAGAATATAAACAATGTGTTTTGCTCATTGGTTTAGTTTTTATTTGTGCGATGTTTAATTCTTGTTGATGTCTTAATTGTCCTTTGGACCAAAAATACTTATGGTTAATGTGTTTTATTTTATTTTCTTATGCAGCAATGTATCAATGAAGATGTTGAAAAGGACGATATAAATGATGAAATTCAAGAGGACGACATAAATGATAAAATTCAAGAGGACGATCTAAATGATAAAATTCAAGAGGACGACGTAGATGACGAATTTCAAGAGGACGACATAGATCTAGATGATGAATTTCAATAGGAGGATATAGATGGTGAATTTCAAGAGGACGACGTAGATGAAGAATTTATGGAGGATGACATATCTAACGAATTTCAAGAGGACGATCTGGATGCTTTACTCCTAGAAGACAAACTTGAATGAGTTGGATGATGTCTTTTTTTTGGCTTGTAGTTGAAAGCATTAAACTTGAAATATGATTTTTGTTCTTTTGCTGAACTATGTTTTTAGTTATTTTACTAGGGTCATACTTCAAAGTATTAAAAGTAATATTGTTACGTTAGGCATTTTGTGTACTCTATATACTATATCTTGAATTAAAGTTTGAACTCAATTTTATTATATTACAACTTTTATGGATGTATGGTTTAAGTTATATAATCAATATTATTTTTGAAGCCAATTATTATTGACTATATTATTTTGATAATAATTGCAAAATTGTATATTTTATGTGGACACTATAAAACAACAACCTATAAGCTATGGCTACACTTCAAAAACGATCTTCTTGATTCAGGTTTAAGGCAACGATTGTTAATTGTAGCCGAATTTGGCAACGCAACGCTTAAAAAATGTTGTCTCAGAGGCCGTAAATAATCGTCCCCTATTCCTTTACTATAGGCGACGTTTTTCAAAAGCGTTCCCAAAAAACATAAAAAAACGTCGCCTCAAACAATAGGCAACGCTCGCACAGGAGACGCCTAGAAAACGTCCCCTATTGTTTTAGGCAACAATTTTCAGAGTTCTGGCAACGTTTTTCAATTGTTGCTGGAGAGCCTAAATGTTGTAGTGGGTTAAAGTTCCAGAAGGCTACTCATCATATATTAGAAGAATTGTGTCTATGCAAGACCTCAAGTTAAAGAGTTTAAAGACGCATGATTGCCATGTTATAATGGAACATTTTCTACCGATAGGTATACGTTCTATTCTTCCAGAAAAAGTAAGAAGCGCAATAACTAAATTGTGTTTTTTCTTCAAGTCAATTTGCAGCAAGGTGATCGATCCTGAGATCTTACCAACATTGCAAAAAGAAATAGTTGTTACTTTGTGTGATCTTGAAATGTATTTCCCTCCCTCGTTTTTTGACATAATGGTTCATCTTGTCAAAGAGACACAACTGTGCGGACCAGCTTATATGAGATGGATGTACCCTACTGAACGTTATATGAAAATATTAAAAGGGTATGTGAAAAACCGAAGTCGACCAGAGGGTTGTATTGATGAACGATATATTGTTGAAGAAGCGGTTGAGTTTTGTACTGAATATTTGTCAAATGTTCAATCAATTGGACTCCCTAAATCTCATGTTATTGAAAAAAAAGAAGGTAAGAAGCTAATTGGAAATAAAGTTGTGACAATATCAATGGTCGAACGGGATCAAGTGCATTTGTATGTTCTGCATAATGAGCTTGAAGTTGAGCCGTATGTTGAAATGTACAAGGGTGTTCTTCGAGGTTTAAATCCGAATAGAAATGAGAATTGGATTGTACGAGAGCACAATCGAAGTTTCATACCATGGTTTAAGGAACATATTTAATCAAAGTATCGTTCAGATCATGCTTCAGTAACAAAAAGATTGAGATGTTTAGTATACGGTCCAAGTATAGTTGTGTTTTCTTATAGCGCATATGCAATTACTGGATACACATTTTATACCAAAGAACAGAATGACAAAAGTACTATGCAAAATAGTGGTGTCACCTTGATCGCTGAAGCAATGCATATATCAAGTGTGAAGGACTTATACCCAAAATTTGCAAATCTGTCATATTTTGGGGTTATCGAGCGCATTTGGATGTTTGATTACGAGAAGTTTCAGATTCCTATATTTGGTTGCAAGTGGGTTGAAAATAATAATGGCATACGAATGGATAAGTCAGATTTTTTGCAAGTGGATCTTAATAGGGTGGGGTACAAAGATGAGCCTTTCATTCTAGCCTCTCAAGCTAAACAAGTGTTCTATGTCAATGATCTGACAAGTACGAAATGGTCTATAGTGCTATTATCTAACAAAGTAATTGATGAAAGCATTGGAGATCAAAGTGATATTGGTGTTGACATTGAATCTTTAACCATAACTAATCAAAATGATAATGAATCATGTATTAGAAATGATCATAATGAGGGTATTTGGATCAATCCAACTGTCCGCGTTGTTAAGAGACGAGTAGAACACATTCCTACCAAGAAAAGAAAGAGACCTTAGTGAAAAGGGTAATAGTATATATAATTATAGCCTATATCATTCAATAAAATTTAATTTGTCATTTCATTTTTATTTGTCATTTCATTTTTATTTGTCATTTCATTTTTATATTTGTCATTTCATTTTTATTTGTCATTTCATTTTTATTTGTCATTTCATTTTTATATTTGTCATTTCATTTTTATATTTGTCATTTCATTTTTATTTTTTTTCATTATTACAGGTCAAATGGCTAGTAATCAAGAAAACTCAAAAGATGCAAATGCTCCTGAAAATGCTCCTGAAAATACTCCAGAAAATACTTCAGAAAAGACTTCAGAAAAAGATATTACACGAGGTATAACTATTATGAGGGGAATCATTCGTGATAGAGATAGAGGAGTAACATATAATGTAGATTGGAATGATAATGACCAACTAATTGGGTCTAATGCTGCAAATTTGACAAGCTACATTGGTACGCTTGTTCGTATAAACATTCCGATCACCACTCCTAGATGGAAAAGAGGAGAGTTGGATGAGGCTAAAGAGAAAGTTTGGACTGAGATAAAGGTACATATATGGTTTTTGTTATTTGCTTTATCTTGAAGATGATATGTGTTTAAATTTATTTTACTAACACACTTTATGCGTATGTTTTTTTGTAGAGGTCTTTTAACATTGAAGATACCCGTAAAAAGTATATAATGGGTTTGGCTCGAAAAAGACACAGAGGGTGGAGAACATTTTTAACAAACAAGTATCTTAAAGATGATGAAGGAAATTTTCTTGAAGAGGATCCGGAACGTCCAAAGAAATATGAGAACTTCATTACACCTGAAGAATGAGTTGGTTTTGTAGGCCAAAGAAGAGATGAGAATTTCAAGAAAGTGAGTGCTATCAATCGCGAGAGAGCGTCAAAACCCGCATATCCATACAAAAAAGGGCGTTTGGGATATGCTCGCTTAGAGGGAAAAATTGTAAGTAAATATAAACTCTACGATCTTATTAATTCTCTCAATGTGTTATAATTTATGATCTTAAGACTTGTGTCAATGCGTAGTTAGAAGAGACAAAAAGTGACGCAACATCACTACCGACACATTTGTTGTGGAAGGAAGCCCGTGTGGGCAAGGATCAAGTTGTTAATCCCGATATTCAACATGTGTATGATGAATGTGTAAGTATAAGATTGTGTCTTTAGTTAAATCAAATGTTTATTAATATTTAAATAATTTTTTATCTCCACTAATAATTTTCGATATGTAAATGAATTACAGGAGACCTTGTCGCAATCGGTATCCCCAGGTGAGGATCATCAGGATACCAGGAGCGTACTTAGTCGAGCACTAAATATTGTTGAGTATCCGGGTCGGATGAAGGGTAAAGGTCATGGTGTGACTCCAACCTCTTTGTATAAGCATCCAAGGAGAAGAAATCCTAGCAATGCAGAAGTGATGCAAACATTTTAGGATTTACAAGCTCAAGTTCGTGAATTGCAGAAGGATAAAGAGAGATATATGGCGGAAAAGAGCAGTTCACAATTGAAAGAAACTAGTGACAAAGCTAGTATCAACTGTCAGCATAAATTTCCCGAGGTAATTTTCAATATATATCCGTTATTATTATAGAATATTTTTAGTCACTTCTAACGGTTATTATTGGTTTAGGGCATTTCATCTTGCCAGCTATACCTATCGTCACCGACTTATCGACTAGTTGGCAAGGGAAAAGTCCATAACACTTCGGGAGATTTACTTCACCATAGACCGCTTCCGGATGGACACATGAAAGTATCGGTTGACATTGCTTTAGATATGGATGTGTTGTTGTTGGTACCTGAAATTGTTGCTGAGACCACATTGCTGCGAGATGCAATAGAATCTTTTGTTGCATGGCCATCAGACCTCATTTTCATAGATAATCAGGTATGTTGAAAACAATTATGAATCTTTAAGTCTTCAACTGTCAGTTTTGACCTCAGTTATTTCCACGGTAATTATAGACTCCTACAACACCCG